ATTTGTTCTTTTCCTCGTCTGCTCCTGTTGCTTTCTCTCCTCTCCCGTGTCCATGTGTCTCCATGTGTGTGTGTGTGTGTGTGTGTGTGTGTGTGTGTGTGTGTGTGTGTGTGTGTGCCTTTCTTATATAAATTTTTCGGTGATCTCATCTATGTCCTCGTTTTTATTTTTTCTTTTCCTCGTCTGCTCCTGTTGGTTTCGGTCCTCTGCCGTGTCCATGTGTCTCCATATGTGTGTGTGTGTGTGTGCCTATCTTATCTATTTTTGTCCGTGATCTCGTCAATGTCCTCGTTCTTTTTTTTTTTTTTTTTTTTTCCTGTCTGTTTGGTTGACTTTCTGTTCTTTGTTTTGTCGTTTCATCTAATACTTGAACGAAGACTTCGTTTGTGTTCTGATTGAAGCTGTAATTCGGACCAAACACACGACAGAATGTATTTCCGATATTTTGAATACGTCCCTCTGAGTTGGGCTGTCGTCCAGACTCGGCTCGTCCTGCCGTTTTGTCTTTTTTTTTTTTTTTTCCCATGTCGTCCTTCTGACTTGCGCGTGTCGTCATCATCCTATACATGCGCAGCGGCCGTCCGCTAATCTTCTCTTTCTCTGTAGCGTTCCATTTTTCAACGGCTGCGGTGTCGAGGAGGACTGAACCCTGAATTGCGTTCGTCAGATTTTAATCCGCTTTCTTCCCGATGGATCGGGATCCGATTCTGTCTGGTGTCGCGACTTGTCGTTTCTCGCCTTTTTCTTTTTGTTCGGTTTAAAAGAGAGGCCTTGTGGTGGAGCACGGATGTGGCTGCTACGGGGTTCCCCGTCATACTATAATGACTGAAAGGCCGTCCTGTTCAGATTTGACAGGTAATTGAATTGGTTGGGCTTAAAGAATTAGCCTTTAAAATAAAAAAAAAAGGGAACGATACAGAGAAGATTAGCATAGCCCCTGAGCAAGGATGACACGCATAAATCGAGAAATCCTCCCCCCCCCCCCCCCCCCCCCCCCCCCCCCCCCCGGCACAAAAAAAATAAAATAAAAAAAAAGGTAAAGGCCTTCCTTAGGAGCCCAACCCCATTCAGTCGTCTGCCGAATATGACAGGACGGCCTTTTGGGCCATCTCTCTCGCCGTCTTTCGTCGTTTCTCCTGGTCTCTCCACCATTTCTTGGCGTGTCTCGCCGTTTCCCGACTTTTCTCGGCGCAATCCCTCGGGCCATCTACCACTGTCGGGAGGAATGTTCAGCCTTCTTACCACCGAATGTTCAGCCTTCTTACCACCGAATGTTCAGCCTTCTTACCACCGACTCACCGAGTGTTCAGCCTTCTTACCACCGAATGTTCAGCTTTCTTGCCACCGTCTTGCGGAGGAGGTCCTCTTTGAGATATCGTAACTACCCTCGGAGAGCGATGTTCTCGAGGAAGTGCGTCCGTTCCCCAACTATGTATGACGAGAGGACGCGAGCCAAACAAGAACAAAAGAAGAAAATGGACAACGACATCATCCGAGGCGATGGAACTGACGGGGAGAGATCGAAAGTACGGATCGTTTTTAGTGCTCCACCATCGACTGCCCCACTACTGACTGTACCACCACCGACTGCCCTACCACTGACTGTACCACCACCACTGACTGTACCACCACTGACTGTACCACCACCACTGACTGTACCACCACCGACTGTACCACCACCACTGTCTGCACCACCACTGACTGTACCACCACCACTGACTGTACCACCACTGACTGTACCACCACTTGCTGTGCCACCGCCGACTGTCCGACTACCGACTGGACCACCACTGACTATACCACTGACGATTACTGAAATTGCCGGATTTCTCAAGGGCCTCGCCACACCACTGTCGAAACGAAAAAAGCACTAGTGCATCTTGCCCAAAAAGTGGCCGGATGCATCTGGTGCTATTCATAGGAACGGATGCATCTTGCCACTTTCTGTGGGAACATGCATTTGAACGGTGTTAGTTTCGACAGTTGTGTGGCGAGGCCCTAAAGCTCATTTTGTTTGTCGGGAAGACGAATCCGGTTGTTCGTGGTAATGCTTGCGCATCGCGGTGATTGCCAGGCAAAGGCGCATCGCGTACTCTTTACGACGCTAAGGCCCTCGCTCCACAACTCGCCAAATGCGAGTCCCAATGGCGCGTGTATTATAGTTGGGATGGGATAATTGGTAGAAAGCGCCCACGGCAAAAGACCTGATCGGTTTTGGGCGCCAGAAACTCGGCCGTTTGGTACTACCGGGCCAATGTTTTCCATGTGGGGTACTAGAGGCCCACGTGTCGCTAAAGGGCCCTACCGGATCATGAATCTGGCGCATACACGGCGCCAGATTCATTTTAAATGTCGAAGAGGCCGAGGGCGGTTCCCCTGAAGGATAGATAGAATGAGGCCCACGGACGGTATTTTGAGAAAGAAGGGCCCTACCGGTTCACGAATCTGGCACGAAAACAGAGCCAAATTCTTGAACCGGTCAAAACAGGCCCAGGGAGATGTGGCGACGGCGCGAAGGCGCCTGTCGCCCAGGCTGAAGACGTTTGGGCCGGTAGTACCAAACGGCCGAGTTTCGGGTGCCCAAAACCGGAAAGTTTTTTTTTTTTTTTTTTTTT